AAAAAAAAAAAAAAAAAAAAAAAACCACAGCTGCTACAGCAGCCACAACTGGAGGCACCACCTGGTTAAGCATATAATACAGTATCATTCTTCAAGACCCATTTGTCTTCTTCAGAGCCAAATAGGCAAGTTGAATGGGGATAGGGTGGCCCCACCCCCCGTATATTTTTCTTAGCGGTGGCACTAATCTCTGCAATCCCTCCAAGAATGAGGTATTGCTTTTGATTTACTATTTTTCCAGGTAGAGACAGTTTTAGTAGCTCACCTGTCCTCTCCCACCATAACAGCCCTCAATCCACAGGTCAGATAATCAATGTGGGGATTCTGCCAGTTGCTAAGTAGATCTAGTCCAAATTATGTTTATGGTACTGGGGATACAAACACAGAATGCTTCTGGGACTTGCTGTGCGCACTGTGAAACAGACCGGAGCTAAAACTCCATTCATTACCTAGCTGCCATAAGCCCCTACCCTGACTGGTAGATCACAGTGATGTTTTGAGTCTCCTGGAATTAAGGTCAGTTCAGAGCCAGTATCTCATTTAAAACAATTTAATAAATATGAAACAATAATTTATTATGATAAAGAAAGAACACTTCAAAGAAAATACCTCTTACAGGGTAACTATCTTGGAAGATAGTTGATATTCCTTTGGTGGAAGTTAAATAGATGGGAAGTCTACTAAAGTGTTAATTGATTTGTGTAAGTGGAAGACTTCTAGGTCAAGTGAACAAAAGCATAACTTGATTAATAAAGACAGAAAGTCAGTGTCCCTCAATGAATACCCAGACTTGAGCCAGTGAAGAGGCCCAGAAGCCCTTGAACAAAGGGGAGGCCAGGTTCCCTTGAGGAAGACCACCAGTATACTTCCAGAAATGTATACTGTTAATCTTTCTCCCAGTCTTCCAAAAGGCACCTATGGCTTTTATTAGAGTGACTGTGCAGAGACCAACACTGAGTTCCCAATATGGCACCATTCTCTGGTGGCATGTTGGTTACATTGGACTGCTTTTTTCTCACTGAAATAGACACTGGATATGGATATGCCTTCTTTACACAAAGTGCTGCCACCAAACTACCCTGAAAAGTAATCCCTGTAAGGTCTGAGTATTTTCCCCAATGCACAGTATCCATGGATCCCAGATACCTGCATTCCCTTATGTAGTTAACTACATTCATATAACCTCGCAATCTTTCATTCACACTTTAACTCACAAGTCCCATTCAAACACACAAAATCTCACACGATCTCCAACTCAATCATAATCCTTTAAAACATACGCATCAATCTCAAAGCCACCACCATCTAATCACGTACCCTATCACTGTCATACAATCATTCAGAGACTCAAGCATATTCACAAACCACATTCACATACAGTCATTCCTCAGTGTCCCTCCAGGACCCCTCCCTACCAAAATCCACAGATGCTCAAGTCCCTTATATAAAATGGCATAGTATTTGCATATAATCTATGGAAATCCTCCCGTATTCTTTAAACCTTCTCTAAATTACTTATAACACATAATACCATGTAAATACTATGTAAATAGTTGTTATATTCTATTATTTTAGGGCATGATGACAAGAAAAAAGTCTGTACAAGTTCAGTACCGATTCAAACATCAATTTCTTTTCCCAGGTATTTTGGACTGAAGGTTGGTTGAATCCACAATGCAGGACCTATGGATTGGGAGGGCCAACTGTACATCATATATTTCACTCACTTTCTCAGTGACAGTTTCAAGTGCAAATCATCTCGCATACATGAATAAGAATCAGACACAAGCAGAATCACTTGTTCTCAAACAAGCACCATTTCCTCATATTACACTTGGTGATGGAGTTACTGGTCTCTTAGCAAGGTTAAAAATCCTTACCAAGGGGCCGGGCGCGTGGCTCAAGCCTGTAATCCCAGCACTTTGGGAGGCCGAGGCGGGTGGATCACGAGGTCAAGAGATCGAGACCATCCTGGTCAAC